AAAAGCCCATGTACTACTGATTGTCAGATTCCCCCTCAGTGAATAACAATGTCTTGCATATAGTATTTACTCAATAAAATTTATTACTGAATGTTTGCTCTTGAGTAAAATCAATACAGGGAGTGGGGTGTCAGAATTAATTTCTTTTTATAATAATACAAGGCAATCAAGGCAAAACGGGATGCCTCCTTTCTAGAGTGTGGAAGGCAGTGTAAGTTGTTGAAATTAGAGGTCATGTCATAAATTGTTAAAATCATGAAGCATTAGGGTACATTAAATTATTCAAAACCTCTTCATCTGAAAGCTGTTAAACTAACAAAAATAACGTTTTCATATACTTAAGAAAAAATAATAAGGGGTCTGAGGAGAAAATAAGAGCAGGAATTCCACCCCTGCTCACTAATTTCATTAATAACATGAGCCATTGAGCCACATAAGAATAGGAAAGTGATTTATATGCAGATCAGCGAAAAAACATTTTATCTTCATTCAAAATTGCAATGTCAAGAGCAGAATGCCGACCACAGGTTATATTGTCAAACAAGGAAAGAAAGTTTGATTTATTTTTATGAAAACAGATAATAGCTTCAGATCTCCAATAGTAAGATAGAGCCAAATTCATTCCTGTGTTCAAGTAAATAAGAGTGAAATAAAAATTGCCATGACTCTTGCCCTCTTTAGTTCTCCTTAAAGAAAAATTCTTGAACATGTCACTCAGGTAACAGGGACAAGCAAGAGCCGACAAGGTCCACCAGAGAGCTGGAGAGGGGGCAGGTGATTTGACCTTTTCATATAAGTTAATGAATAAGACAAAAGTGAAATAATAAAGATATATGGTGAGGATATTATATGTAGAAATGCAATTGTTTCTCAACTCGTGAGTGACTTTTTTGCTGCATTGGTCATAATTTTTGTGTGTGTATGTATTGGCTACGTAATGTTCTAATGTTAATTATTAATACTTTCTCCACTACTTTCTTATGTTTAGAATGACAGTCAACAAAACAGTAAGTCAAGCCTTGATTTGTAGAGTTTACTGTTTTTTAGATTTCCATGGTGTGAATACTCGGTATTGAATGCAGACTTCGGAAGAGATGTGTAGTAGCCACCACTACATAGTATTTCTCTCATGTAAATAGATATGACACAAAGAGCCTCTACAGCATAGATAAGGGTAAAATGAAGTAGCATAATTAGGAAATGATGAGCTTTCGTTTTTCTTATGCTTGTTTTGTAATATAATTTAATTGTAAGTCTATATGATTTTTAATAATGGTTGTTTATCAATTGGCTTATAAAAATTCTTGAAATGTAGCAATTGGCTCTCATTGGTTGATGCGAGTTGACTCCACTAAATCACTGACCCTCACCCTCTTTAAAATACTTCTTTATTTTTTGATGCTATCCTTAATATTAGGGGCAATTCAAATGTACAAAGTAATCTACAATCCCAATGTTCTCATACTGCCACTACAATCAAAACTGTATCATTAGAAAAATCAGAAGGAGAAATGAGAGTGACCTTTTATGTTGCTTAGTCCAACAAGTCATTTCTTCAGATAAATACATGGAAGTGGTACTGCTGGGCCATGTGGTAGTTTAATTTTTAATTTTTTTGAGGAATATCCATACTGCTTTCCATAGTGGCTGCATGCATTTACCATCCCACCAACAGTGCACAAGGGTCATCTTTTCTCCACTTCTTCCCCAACACATTCTTTTTGTCTTTTTAATAATAGTCATTCTGACAGGTGTGAGGTGATATTTGTGGTTATGATTTACATTTCCCTGATGATTACTGACATTGAGCATCTTTTCATATTTCTATTGGCCATCTGTATGTCTTTGAAGAAGTGTCTATTCAGGTGCTCTGACCAGTTTTTAATTAGGTAGTTTGAGTCAATTTTATTTTTTAAGAGCATAGGAATTTGCCACAGAAATTTCTATTTAACTTTTCTGATTAAAAGTGTGAAATTGGACATTGTAATCCAAAATAGACTATTGTATTTTTTGTACTACTTATTATTCTGTGAAACAGAAGCAATATTAGCCCTCCAATGAGGAAATCGGTTTTTTCACCATTTATGACCGCTGTTTGTAAGGTATAGAAGCCTGAAGTTTTAAACACTTATCAGCATCGTACCAAACAGGAGGAAACATCATCCTTCAGTATCAAAAAGCTGCTGGAATGGTTCAAGCGCAGACTCTGGACCTGCCCTGCTCCTAACAAGGCCCACCCAGTGTGAACGCTCTCCGAGGGCTGGTGGCTACAAACACGAGTCTCCCTACCACTTCATACAAGAGGATGCTCCTTTATGTGAAGAGCTGGTAGTTCCCCTCCAAGTTCCCATCCGTTAGGCCGTTAAAAACATCCCTTCTTCTCTCCCTTTATTTATGAAGCAACGGAAACTTGAGGAGCAGCTGATGACAGAGTAGACTTGAGTGCAAGAGCTCGTCATGCTGGCTGACCTGCCTGCGCCTTGGACACTGGAAGGTTCCCTAAGGATGAGCCTGGCATTCCCGACGAAGTATTCTTTGGTGCAACATCTCATGTAATCCAGCTTAACTTCTCTAGGACAGTAATGATTCCATTCAGGCTGATGCCTGTGGCTAAAATACAAATTAAACTTGGACAATGTTGTCAAGATGATGGTTAGATTTATTTATACTGAGTAATGGGGATCGGCTGGGTGGGCGGGCATACGGAGTGAGACAGAAGGGCTCGGGTCACACTTCTGTGTTGCTCTTGAGCCCTAGTGGCTGTCAGCTGCTGAGAGAAGCACGCTGGCCCATGCAGAGCTGGAGGGGGTGAGGGGCAAGCACAGACACCAAGAACCTCACTGCTTCAGATGTCCCTGGAGGGAAGGATGTCCATAACCACCCCCTTTCCATCTGAAGGAAGCACTCACTGTCTGAAGATCTTAGTATAAGTGATGAAAATGCCACCTCTGGGAACGCTACTTACTGAACACCTAATAACCATCGACTGCGACAGGCACTTGCTGAGTGTGTTCACTTAGCTCATAAATTTTTCAACAACTGTGCAACCTCGATGTTGTGCTTGCTAAATTCTGAAGGAGGAAACTGAGTCTCAGAGAGAGGAAATACTTTGCCCTGGTTCAAACAGCTTGTCGGGGGCAGAACCAGGGCACAAACGCAGCTTCTGTCCTATTTGCTTCTAAAGTCCTGCTCTTTTTAAAGACAGTTTACTAAACACGAAATCTTCTTACAGTACTAGACTAGCTGAAAACTTAAAAGTGTATTTGTTCTTTTCATTTGGTTTTTAAGTTCTGTTTCCCCTTTCAAAACACATTAGTTTTCAAATTAATAGGAACATTATTAGAAGAATAAGACGTGACAGGGTGTTTATTGTTGCTGCTTCTTGGGTGGTTGTGGTGTGCAGCCCATGATTAAACCCACAGTGAAAGTATGGCACAGGCCCAGTGTGACACATCCGAACGTGTTTGATGGTTTGAAGGGGGAATTACCAAGGTTTTGCAAAACTTTAAAACCTTGTGCAAGACCTTGATAGAAAAAAAAATATATATGTAACTGTTTTAAGTGTAAAGTACTGCCTACCATGCAATGTTCACAAAATTGAATTATTCAAAATTTAGAAATCTGAAACAAGAAACTTAGTGATTTCTCCACTGCAATGGTATCAGCAACCAGAAATATGGCAACTGCACAACACTGTGAAACCTTAAGCAATTTTTTCTCCTAAGAGCTTTAGGAATATTATTTTATCCGTTTGCTGATACCAAAGAATGAAGATACACACTGGAGATTAACTGAGTTTTTGGTAACTAGTGAGTGTCATGGGGAAAAGGAGAGAGATGAAGGGAGACTGAGACAGGCATTGAGAGGGGAAACGCCTTGAATGGTGAATGTTATGATATAATCTTGACAGAAAAGCCAGGAAATAAAGACTGATTTTCAGGGTGGGCTGGTATTAGAAACTGCATTGTGTATGCTATATGTATATTCCTTAGAAGTTCTTAGAAGACAGAATTACATTTGTAAAATTGCTTTATATAAAATTTAGCTTAATAGTACATGCATGAAAATGGAAAAGGCTCTGATGATAATATGAGAGTAGGTAGCTGGGATTTTATAATAGATCGGATCAGGCGGTTTCAGGCTCATATACCTATACAGACAAAGACATCACTGTTCTAAAATCTGCCTCTTTTGAATATTACATAAAAGGTAGATACTCTAAGAGGATGCATTCAAAAACAGATTACAGGAGATACTCATCTCCCTCGCCCTGAAGGGAAGCAGCGTGTGAATACTTCAAGAGCATATATTGGCCCTGAGCACCGAGGCACTGTTCATACTTGCCTAATACAGATTTTTTCTTGGCACCACAAAGTCTAATGTGTTTTTTCAAATATTATTTTCTTAAAGTTTTTCTGTAGGCAAAAATATCAAAGAAGAGAGGCAGAAAATGATCTCAGAAAAAAAGAAAACCCCAGGAAGAAAGCTGTCATGTTCTGTGTTTCAACTTCACAAAAGAATTCCGTGTAGAGGCATGAGCCTTTCAAATCGCTTGTCACTCAGGATATGAAATTCTAATCTAGTGGTGCGGCCGGTCGGAGCTCAGACTTCATCAAATATGCTGACGAGCTGGAACAGGAGGTTCACTTCCTTACTTCTGGTCTCCATCTTCGCTTGGCTCGTCTCTTGCAGATTATGACAGTCGCTTGCCATGCAAGCTCCGGAAGTCCAAGATGGGCAGAGGCTGCGGGCACCTCACGGAGTTTACCAGACGAAAAGTGACATCACCCTGCCGCACCTCAGGGAATTGGTGAATTTTACATAAAGCCTATTTATACACCACTGCAAGTGATACTTGCATTCATCTTGCTCTGTGACATCATTTCCTCATCAATAATTTAAGCTGAAGAAATGGATTAAAGGGACTCTGAAGAGACTTCTCACACATGGAAAACCAGAAACCAACTAAACTCTCCAAAATATCAATTTGGTCCTCTTACCTTGTTCTTTGATCTGACGGATTTGCTTCACAGTTTCTTTTAAGATTGCACATTTGTCAGGTTTGAAGTTAAAGTTGTCTATGTCGTTAAAATTTGCAAATATCAGCTCTGCAAGTTCTTCGATATATTTATTTTCCTGTTCACGATTGCGTTTCTCAGTGCTCCTCTTGGGGCTAAAAAAACAAAACAAAACATGTTTTTATTATGAATTTGAAGAAGAACTATTTTGAAAAAGATAAGCATGTCAAACAAGTTTTAATACAAAGACAGCCAACAGAAGTTATTTATGTAAACACAAAAGTACTTTGGGGGTGGGAGGAGAGAAACCTGAATTTGCTCTAAATGTTGCATGTTTTTTAAAAAAATTAAATTTACCCCAGTTTATAATTATATATTTACTTGTGTCATCATATGTCCAATGTGCTTACTGTTTCCACTGACACGGATCAGACAATTTGCTCACCTAGTGCTTGACACCAAGCGTGGCTATGAAATTTATTGCTGAGTAAGTAAAGGATTCCTTTATGTTTTAGAAAATGGAAGTTACGTCTATAAAAAGTTTGAAGTTTATGTAAGGTCAATACAAGAAAGGGAAGTTAACCTAGTTAAAATAAAAATAAATTTCAACGATTTTTGATAAAGCATAAAAAGATTAAGATAAATAAATCTATATAATTTCACAGACTTCTTCAAGATGTTAGTAATCAAACCAAACAGGCTTTTTAGATAATGCAAAATCCATAGTACCACTAGAAACAGAAGCGAAACTGACCAGGGTAGTTGTTAACTGTCCAAGCTGAATGACATGCAAAATATAAACAAACGATCCAAGTTCAACTAAAGTTTTAAAACGTTAATGGTAGGGAGGGGAAAAAACTGGCAAGATCTTCTCATTTGAATTTGATAAACAGCAAATTCAAGAGTTCCCTTTGATAATAACAGTGGACCTTTTTGTTCTCGAGTACAGTAGAGGGCCCACTAAAAGACATTCAAACAATACAATATATAAACAAAGCAAATTGTTTAATGTAGCCGCTTTCTGTATTTTTAACAAATTGGAATTATCTGCATATAACAGCAGTTTATAAAATCCTGTAGTTTGTAGTAGACTTCCATATATTAGCTTCTAAATATTAGATTTATTTTCACCAACTAATAAACCTAAGATAGAATATAATTTCCCCATTTTACATTGGTTATACCATTTGTCCAAGATCACCCAGTAGAGCAAAAACCTGAATTTGGTTTTCTTAAGTCTCATGTGTATTCCTCGTTTCTAGCTGATTAAGTGCAGGGAAAGGGAGGGAGTGGCTAGAATTTGTATAGGAGCCAAGTTCCCCTTCTGGACCCCTATACCCACCTCTTCCTCCCTCCATCTCTCCCCTCTCTCACTCCCCAAGACAATAAGTAAATGACAAATAGGTGAAGGGGGAGCTGTGCTACCAAGATGGGAGAGTGCCAGGGAGAGGGCTGGAGTCACCCCCTCCCCCCCACTCCCCATGGCATCTGCACAGAGAACGCCCCTCCACGGGAACACGCCAGTTTACCACACTGCCTGCTGGAGGAGGGCTCTGAGCGCTGCAGGCAGTTTGACTGACGGACTGTGGTTAGCCAGGAAGTACTAGGGAATCTAGAGGCAACACACAGGAGCTGGGATGTGGACAGTGGTGACTTAACAGGCTTATTTTGCTTGGCACTACAAGGAGAGAAGGAAATATAAAACACTGGCTCTTTGCTCTTTCTCCTTCTCTTCCTCTCTTAATGACGATCTCTAGTCCTCTTCTCTGCTGTTCCCCATCTCATCATTTTACTGGCCATTTAATAGAAGTTGCTCTTTCTATTTAAATTTTAAAGTCAATGACATGATTTAAATATTCTTAACAGATTTTTTTCATGTCATCCCATTAATAATGTCCACATTCTTTTTCACAATAACCTGTATTGTGTTCCAGGTTATAGACATTTAAATAGTTTAAATACAAGCCTACAAGCATTTAGGTTTTTCCTAACTTTTTTGCAATGATGAACAACGCTGTTCGAAGTAAGCTCAAACATACATAATTTTGCACATGTAAAAGTATACTGTTGGAAAATTCCTAGAAGAGGAACAATGTTAGTTCAACGAGAATATGCATTTATAACTTTAAAAAGGTACTGCTAAATTATCCTGCATGGAGGCTATAACAACTCATACATCCACCCATAATATATGACATGGAACTTGCTGTAAAACTTTTTGCTGTGCTCACTGCAGAGCCACAGTCTTTGTTATAAAATCCAAGCAAGCGGATATAACATTTCATGTCTTGCTCATTAAAACAAACAAAAAAACAGAATAAAACCCAGTATAAAATTAACTGCAGATCCTTTTAGTTTGGGATCTTCTTGTCTTTATGACAGTGTGATCGAACAGAAAAGAGTGTGAAAAGCTCAAGATTATGGAATAAAGAGGTTTTAAGCGTCAAGTACTCAGGGGATATCAGAAGAATGTAGCTTTTCTCTTCTTAGAAAAAATAATAAGATCTGTAACTGATTAGCATCTCCAAAATGTCAGCTAAATAATACATATTTGATTAACTGTTAAGGAGAAAAACCAATCACAGTATCAAATCAGGCGTAAAATCAGTGCTACAATATCAAAGAAGCCGCATGTGGCTTCTGTGGGCAATCCTCTAACCTGGGTCCGAGCTGGTCAGGACATTCCTTGCGCTTTCTTGTCTCTGCCCTGGACGGGTCAGAGGTGTTTTCTCCCATCCCACTCATCTTGAACACATATCAGCAACTAAAACAGAAAACAAGGGGGAAAGTGAAAAGAGCTGATGATCAAGTGTCTGATCAACTTACCAATAACGAAAAAACTTTGACTCCTATCAGAAATTTGACAACGGTTTTGACTGATGTTCGAGTATAACTTTTAACAAAAAGGCTGCTTTTTTAAAAATCTTGTTAAAAGGTTAAGCAAATGTAAAGGTTACAATTCATAAAAACAAACAAGCCTACCCTTTCACCAGGCCTCGTATTTCATCAGTACCATGAACCACAACTGCTGGCCCTGGTTTCTGCACCAGCCTCCAGTTTCAGGCGTGCTCTTGTACATGTGGAAACTACAGGTGTTGTAAGGGGCTCCTCCCAGTCTCTGTTTTGGGTTGGCCAATGCGAAGCCCATGCTGCAATAGCTCACCCATGACAGAATGCTCTGGGAAGAGGTAGTGCCACGCCACAAAGTTGGACGTTTCCAAATCCGACCAGGGAGATATGACACCTCTCTCCTAGGCCCGCACAAGGCCTCCCTAAGCAGTGGCCCTCTAACAGGAGGTTCCTACCTCCCTGCTCCTCCCTCAGTGCTCCACCCAGGGCAGCTCACCTACCTGAGCACACTTCCCAGCCATGGCTTCCTGTCACATCCCTGACTCCCTCCCCTGCCCTCCGTGGGTTCTTGCTGCTATCACCCAAGGTTTTAAGATATACTAAAAAAATCAGGTAACATTACTGACCCTAACCGAGGAGGAGAATTACTGGCTCCTGCTGGCTGAATACCTTCCAGTAAGAAAATATAAGGACATATAATAAGAAACAGTGTGTTCATCATTAGTAGAATCCAAATAATGTTTAAATATGCAAATCCAACAGCAATAGAGGCTGAGTTCTCAACAAACTAACAAAGAGACTGAGAAAGATTTTGAGGACATAGACCAGGGGTCCTCAAACTTTTTAAACAGGGGGCCAGTTCACTGTCCCTCAGACCGTTGGAGGGCCGGACTATAGTTTAAAAAAAACTATGAACAAATTCCTATGCACACAGCGGCGGCAAAAACACCCGGCGGGCCGGATAAATGTTTTCGGCGGGCCGCATGTGGCCCACGGGCCGTAGTTTGAGGACCCCTGACATAGACAGTTGTTACTCAAGGTGTTCAATAACTGCTAACTGCCCCTCCCCCCAATAAACAAACAAACAAACAAACAAACAGCAGCCCAAAAGGTTTTATCCAGCCTGTAAAAATATTTCCTAGAGCTCAATTCCATGCTATTTCCTCTGCCTTCTGTCCCCCAGGCTCCTAAAATCACCTCTGCCCTCCTTCTCTTTCTGTGGCGGCTTTTCTTCCTTTTCAGGTTGGAAAAATTGGAGGGAAGGGCAAGTCGGTGGAAGGTCAAGAATTTGAGAAAGGGGAGGGTGGGCTAAGAAAACACCACCTGAGAGTGACCACTGTATCGCTGTCACCTACCGATCACACGGCCCACCTGTCCCCTCCTCGTAATCCGGGTGCTCAGGCTCACTACAATCACTCCTTCTGGACTCAACTCCGACCCACGGGGGCAGCGGAGTTAATTTTTTTAGGAGTCACGTGTAAGTAGGACGAAGAAACACTGTAGCGGCAGAGGGAGTTCGCACCAATTGCACATTGTATTCAACAGGTCACACAGGAGGGGACGAATCTGAAAGCCAAGGCCTGAGCTTTCTGCTGCCGGGAGCAGTGTAACAAGCCCCAAGGTCCTGCGCTGTCGTCAGAATTCTGGGCTGATAATAGGCATAATCTGTATTTAGTTACTATTCATTTAGCATTCACTCTGTACCAAGAAATTTACAGATAGAACTTAATCATCAAAACCGGACCATGAGCAGCAGTAGGGCTGAGAAGCAAATGGCCAGCATCCATGTCCAACTGCACCTCTTGGTGGGACCTTACAAAGCCGCCTCTCATGCCTTAATGACCTCTTCTGTAAAATGGGGTAATCAGCAGCATCTCCAGCACAGGGCTGGGGAGCAGATTAGCAAGAACTGGGACGGAGACCCAGGCCGACCCACTCCTGCTCTTCACAGAAACGTACAGCAAAGGGTCTCCCATCAAACAAGCCAATCTTCCTCTAATCACACAGTCACGGGTCAGGTGGGGGAAGCAGCAAGACCTCCCCTACACATCATGCACTCACTGAGCCTTGGTCCGCCAAGCTGGTGTGTGAGGAGCACGGAGGAATGTTCTCTCCAGAAGAAAACCAGGCGAGGGGGAGAGAAACAAGTAAAAGGTGAGGGTGTCATACAGCCGTATGCACTCCTCTGACTGTGACGCCCAGGAAAGAAGCCCAGAGGCCAAACAAAAACCTGGACACCAAACTCTTCCCAGGTGATGCCCTACACTCTGTATTTTTTCTGTATTTCTCTTGGAACCACAATTCCCAGGGTTTCACTCATGAGCATGTGACAAAAAACATTACTCGTCCAATCTAAGAAAGCTTCCAACACCGCCACCGCCGCCACCATCAGAAAAATCCCAGGAACTTTTTACCCTGGAAGCAGCCTTCTATAAATACTAAGATTTCAAGTAAATTTTTATCATGCAAATGTAACCCTCAACATATAACAAAATGCCCCGTACTGTAGGTGTATGTGATAAGTTTGTTGATGTATATTAAAAAGTATAGTTCTATCAGAAAGATCAGAAAGCTTTTCAACAGACAATTACAATGTGACCATTTTACTTAAGTCGTATGTACAGACTTTGGGATTTAGCATCAGCATTGTCTACTTTTAAGTTCCCCCAATAGAGACACGGATAATTGTACCTTTGCATGCGGGGACGGCACTGATTTATTCAACAAGGGACTAGGAGACAGTGAGTGAAGCAAGGAGCGAATGTTTTCTGGTTTATGTATATTAAGGCCATTTTAGCAGACTGTTTATATTTTATTTGTACCTACTGAAGGCTGGCTCACAAACCACTGTAATTGTAGTTTTAAAACATCATTAGTTTCCTTTTGAAGAGCCAAGTTTTTCCTTTTCTTATGTGATGGTACCTTGAATAGATTCCCTTAAAACCTAAACATTTCAGCTTTACGAACATGCTTGTGTCCTTATTTTTCTGTGTCTGCCCCATATGTCTCCTTTCTGAGCAATTGTCCTGGGCTGTGTATGCCCAGTACATGATGCCAACCACCCTTTAAACCACCAAAAGGAAAAAAAAGACAGGGGGCGATCTGTAGTAACTGGCCACGGACAGGTGGACGCACCCTGCCTGCCACGAACATGAGGCTGGGGAGGCCCCAGAATCACTGCTCCTCAACCAAGGTGAAAAGCCCCACAGATTCCCAGGTGGAATAAAAAGGCAGTGAATTTAGGGTTGAGCAGGGAAGAGAGGAGGGAGAGCAAGGTGGTGACAGGCAGTGGCCGGCTCCCACGCTGCCTCTTGCCTGCCACAGGGCCAGAGTGGATGTAATCCTGGAGCAGAGTTTATGTCCTGCTCTTCAGTGGACGAACCAAATAAGTAACAGTTAGCCTCACTAATGAGGCGTGCAAATAGAACTGCACGCCCGATGTGAGCTCAGCTGCCAGCAATGCTAGTATTTCACACCAGAAGGTGTGGTTGGGGCTTAGGTGAGTTAATTTCCCCCCACTCAAGTGACTCCGATAAAAAGCACAGATAGACAGAGCAATAGATTACATAGGTAGGTAGGTCTATGACTTCTAGTGTGCACGTACACTTGGAAAAACCATCTAAAACAAAAGAAACTATGTGGATTGGTGAGTTTTAAGGCATTTTTGTAGATCAAAGTGAAATAATCTCTGACGAAAAGGTAGGAGAGAAAAAGTACTGAAGAGCAGCCCTGAAGGTTTAGAAATTTCATTTTGTAAGCAGGCCTAAACTAAGAGTTCCTTCTAAGTTCTGCATGTTTTCAGCATTCACAGGAAATTAAAATTCTTGAGCGTTTCATTCTCAATGCTGAAACTGTTCAACATAAATCAGAAAAACTGAAAACGACACAAGAAAGCTCTTGGGTCGTAACTGATGGTAATTACAGTCACTGAGAAGGGTTTCTCCCAGATGTTGGGGGTTGTGGAAGGACAAGACTGGAAAAGAAGTTCCGACTTGTCCCTTCTTGCCATCTACTACACGACCACAGTCCTGCTCACTGGGACAGCACGCCTCCCGGCCACCCTCTGAGAGCAACTGGTATAAAGCAGACCTTAGAGTTTCTGCACAAGATTAACAGTTTTTTTTAAGTAACAATATTCTGGGAGGGGTGAACAATGCCAGTTAAATCCTTACCATATTGACAGGAAAGGAAAGGAAAATGCTAAACCTCAACACAATTGAAAATAAAAAGCACTCTTCTTGCATGGAATTCATCAATGTAACTTCTAAGCTAAGGAAGCTGTCGCTCACAACATAGCCTCATACCATTAAATCTGGTTAATCCTGCAGAATTGATGTAAATGATAATGTGCATATTATCTCTTATCAGAATTGGCCATCTTCCACGCGAGGCCTATAAAACTGACAGATTTATCGTACGCTGAACAAATTCAGTAAAAGAATAAATAAGGATAATGTTGTTGCTGAAATGCAAACATAATAAGTGGTCAAACACCAGATCTCTATTGCTAGTTCCAAGAAATATTTTCACAAAGGCGTTCTCTGAAATTGCTTACCTTGAAATGAAATTTATAATGAACTGACGTACAAAGAGCTGTGGATACAGCTTCTCCTATCAACACCTAGCGGAGGAGGAGCCGCCTGAGAAATCAGCCAGTTCTTCATGAGAAGGCTTCCACAACTCCCAAGGCCTTCCAGGTTGTTCCTGCCCCCTCTCTACAAGAGACAGTACATGGCATTGTGCTGTCACCTGCAGTCTGATCTTTTACCAACTTTGTAAGATGAAGAAATGCTCAAGTAATATCGAATGTGTATGTAAATCCTTACTTAGACACCTTTCCATTTCTATTCCGTTAAATTCATTAGGAAAAGATACTCTTTCAGAGCCCTCCATCCTCAGAGGTACACAGTTAAA